CTTATCACGCCTTTTGCATTTCAATCATTACACAACATATTTTTCCTCATTTACCAGCCTACTAGTATCTATGGGGATCCATAGGGATCCCGCTACCCGTGAACCCTTAACACTTGTAATCAGATTCCAGGGCCGTCCCCATACCCCGTCCGATATGGGCGCCAAATGTAGCGCCCGGACCGAGGGAAAAAAAAAAAGGCCACGTCGGCAGCCACGTCAGCAGGCCCGGCCAACCGGGGCCTGCCACGTGGCAAGACCACGTCGCTCCTGAACGGGCCACGTTGGCGATCCGCGTGGGCGCGATCGGACGATCCAGATCAATCGCGCGATCGGACGGTCCAGATACAATCGCACGGACGGCCCAGATTTAATCAAAAACGGACGGCCCAGATTAAAACAAAATGGACGGCTGAGATCAAAGGGCAAGGGGTTATAAATAGAACCCCCACACCAGACCACAAACCCTAGCCGCCTGCCGCTCGCCGGAGAAGACGAACCAGAGGCCGACCGCCGCCACCCGCCGCCGCACCGGGGAAATTTCCAACCGCCGATCGAGGTAAATTTCATACCCCCGACTCGTTTTTCCACGCTGATTCCTCCTATGGCCAAATCGAAGCCAAAATCCTGGCCAAACGGCCGAAATACGCGGCCGAAGACCAGTGGCGCCGCCGCGCCCCCTCTCGGTTTTTGCCTCCGACGAGGCCCTTCCCGGCCTCCGTTTGATGCAATTTTTATATCACCGTGATCACCATTCTTTTCTCTACAGGTTGACCGGAGCCGAATCACCAAAACACGAACCTCGCCGGAGAGCCGCCGCACCCGAGAGCGCCGCCGCCGGTAAGCTCCATTTTTCTGTGATTTTTTGGCCCCCCGAGGGCCCTAGGGTTGTTTTCTCACAGGGACCGATGCGAGTGTGGCCGAATTCGGCTGAAAACGGCCGAAAACAGCCAACCCGAGGCGACTCGCCGCCGCCAGCGGCGGCGCCGTCGCCGGAGCACGGCGGAGCCGCCGTGCCGGAGTTGCGATTTGGGCCGAAAGAGGCCCTGGGCCTAATTTGGGTTTTTTTTGGAACACGTGCAGGTACCGTTAGTGTGTTTCAGTTCCCTGGGAAAAATTCAGGGAAAATTAGGGACGACCTGTAGGCGCACTGTGAATCGTATTCGGATCCCGAAAACAAGTAAGGACCCCTCACCCTATTTCCTATCACGGTATTAAAAGTTCAAAATGATAAAACGGTATTTCTTGAATTAACGAATGTGTAAAATTGCTTAAGGTTGCTAATGGAGCCCGAGTCTAGTTTGATTGATGATTTACTGTTATTTGGCCTGTTTTACAGCTTTAAATGCAGTATGAGGTTTGATGTGTTTATTTTATAGTCTTGTGTGCATATATTACGTTTTTATTGGTTATGGGTTGAATGACTGAAAAACTGATACCGTATGTTGTCTGTTTGGCATGAATTACGATTTGCTTG